TTTCACAGGTTGATGATTTTGTTGATGGGATTACTAGTTCTCTGCATACTGCCTTAGACAACGCAGCCCCTTTGAAAATGAAAACCTTTAGAAATAGAATGTTGGCTCCTTGGTTTAATGCAGAGCTGTGCAGTTTCCTAGCCAAATTTTTCCCAGCAAAATGCTAGGAAACTGGCGAGAAAATCATGCTTCACAGGCCTACGGAATCCTAGCTAGTCTGGAAAAATACTTTACTGCTGTATAGGAGGACCCTTTGTAAAGCAAGAGCAGCATAATTCTCCTTATTCATAGAGGAGAATAAGAATAGTCCTATATATGTTTTTCACACAGTTGCCATACTTACCCAGACCCATAGCTCAGTTGAACCGTCCATTCCACTTGCTCTTAGCAGTAATGATTTTATGGTATTCTTTATAAGTAAGATTGATCTTACAAAGAAAATCATTAGCACTCCTCCATCTACGATTGGTTTATCTCTGGAAAGTGAGGCAGCATCTGAGGTAGCCATAGAATCTGAACCGAGTTAAGATTGCTTTAGTTAGCAAAACGATTGTCTTAATCTAAGCCTTCAACTTGTATGTTAGATCCAGTTCCAACCAGGTTATTTAAGTAGGTATTCCCAGTGATCTGCTCCAGAATCTATCCCTGTTACAGGGACATGTATCAAAGGCTTTTAAGGTTGTTGTAATTAAACCTTTGCTTAAGAACCCGTCTCTTGACCCAGAGGGCTCGGTCAATTATAGACCTATATCCACTCTTCCTTTCTTATCTAAAATTCTTGAGAAAGTAGTTGCCAAACAAGTGTACAATCACTTACACCATAATAAACTTTTTGAAGAGTTTCAGTCTGGCTTTAGAGCTCATCATAGCACTGAAACCGCTCTGGTGAAGGTTACTAATGATATTATCATTGCCTCAGATAATGGACTTCTATCTATACTTGTCCTGTTGGATCTCAGTGCTGCATTTGATACAGTTGATCATAATATTCTTTTAGAAAGACTTGACTATTTTATTGGAATTAAAGGAACAGCACTATATGGTTTAAATCTTATCTATCTGATCGATTTTAGTTTGTTTACATAAATGACTAATCTTCCTCATGCTCAAAGGTTACCTGTGGA